ATTTGAAACAGACTATGATGAAACTTCAACATATCATAATGCACTAATTATGTCTGTTAAAATGAATGATTCGACAGATCAACAATCATTGGATGATATATTAGTAAAGTTTTTCAATTAATATTAATAAGTTTAAGTTTTTTTAAATTATAAAAATTATATTTTAATAGGTAACAGTATTGTATACAAATCCAATATGCAAACAAATGCTACCTTGTCAATTTTTTTTAAGTGGCGAATGCAAATATTCTGATGATAGATGTTATTTTTCCCACGGTACTCAAGTTCCTTTATCACGCCTCACAGAGTTTAAGTAATGTCGTATACAATTTTATAATTTAATAATGTTTGCTAATATGCATATTTTTTTCCTTAATGTGTAGAGAACCAGATTTTAAAAATTTAAAAATAGGAAGTCTAGTTTTAGCTAAATCATGTGAAGGTGGTCTTTGGTCTAGAGCAGTTGTCTTAGATGTTACTCATGGCACATCAAATAATGATGGAAGTTGTGTTGTTAAATATGAAACTAAAGGACTTGGAGAAATAGAAGTTCCAATGCAAAATATTTTTCCTTTGATTGGGAATGGTATTATCATTTTTAAATGAGAGTGGAACAAAATATATTTACTTATACATTTATAGATGAAGAAGAATTTTACGAGTTGTCATCCGATAGTGACGAAGAAAGTAAAATTAAAGAACGCGATTCAGCAATAGTCAATAAAGTGCTATTAAATACAGAAACTATACAAGCACTTGGAAGCTGGGAAAAACACACCAAAGTAATTGTTTTTGTTTAATTAGTCATTATGCTTATGATAGTGACATTAAAATAATTATGTTAAAATGTTTTAACCGACATTTTTTTATTTTAAACAATTTGTTTAATAAACAATACTATGATAGTAATGTTGATCTATGGGCACAAAATAACAGATACATTTCGATAATTAGTGCATTGTTCTTTTTTTTAGGGTATTGGATCAAAATTAATGGCTAAAATGGGATATATAATGGGAGCCGGATTGGGTAAAAACGGCGAAGGAAGAATTAACCCTGTAGAAGCTACAGTTTTACCGAAAGGAAAATCATTAGGTAAATGGTGAATCATGTTAACATAATTTATTTTAATAAGCTTTTAAATTATGTTTTCATTATTTCCAGATCACTGTATGTCTGTAAAAAATACTGCACAAATTCAAGATGCACGTAAAAAACGGAAACAACAATTGAGACTTGAAAGATGTATGAAGAAATCTTATGAGAAATCATTAGAAAAACCTCCAGATGTTTTTACGTTTCTCAATAATCAACTTAGTAAGCGGGTCAAATACAAGTATGTGGCAATTTTATTTTATATTTAATTCATTATTTTGTGTAGATATAAAAAACATTAATCAAGATAAAAACGTGATGGATCAGAAGAAATTAAAAAGTTCTACAATACACGATTTGAATGTTAGAAGTTTGAAAACAGAAGAAGACATAAAACGACAATTAATAAATATACAAGAGTTAAATCATACATTAAGCCGAAGTACATCTGGCTCTGTGCAGCACAATATGGTCAGCCAGAAATTGATCGAAGCTAATAATCATCTCTCACACTTGAGAGATGAAGAAAAGTCTATAAAAAAAGAACATACATACAGAGAAACTCACAAAAAAATGACTGTATTTTAATAATTCTAGTACTAGAATATTGTACATAAATCTGTAAATATTTTATAATACAAATATTAATCAAAATTGTTTTAAAATAATTGAGAGTTTTTATGGTTGTTTCACTTGTTTGTATTTAAAGAATTAAATAGAAATAAATTATTGTAAGTATAAATACATATATATATATATATAATATATAGTTATACAAACAATGGTTTTCTTTTTTGTTCAAATATGTACAAATAGTTGTGTTTGACCTGCTTCCAGAGGGTGGGATGAGTAATTTTCACAGTTACGAATTATATTGGTTTTTTAACATATTTTATAAACACATGTACACATTGTAAATAAAAAAACCTTTGTATAGTTGTTTGTGACTCACAACAATATTACTATATTTGAACTAACAACTATTGAGCTATAACATTTCCAAATATTCTTTAAATATAATTTTTGATTGAAATTCTTTACATTCTTTTAATGTATTTAAAATGTTACGTATACATTCAGGTCTTGCTGCTTCTAATGTTCTAATACATTCTACAATTACTATAATATTTTCTTTATTAGGCTGCACAGGACTTTTATCCTCATTATATAGTGCTTTGATCAATATTGTTAGCAACACTTTCCAATGAGTACATCGTCTTGGCCACGTTTGTTGAATAAATATTTCAATTGCCTAAAGATAAATTACATCATATTACATGTAGATTTAGTGGAAGCAGTATTTAAGTTAAATCATAGTTAACCTACTTTTACTGTTGAAAAAGTAGATTGACTGTTCATAACATACTCTGAAAATAATGGTATCAAACGCTCCGACCAACGAATGCAAGCAAATCCAGTTGACTCCAAAACAAGTGGAAAAATTGATGCGTAACACACGATTGGATCATGTTTACGTTCTAATTCCATTCGTGGGAGTAAAATATTCATAACATCATCAAACTTTGTCCACTAATTAATAGATCAATCATGTGAGTAATAGTAAGACATGATTTAAATAATACTATAAGACATTTACCTCCAAAGAATTTTTGTTGCTTAAATGTTTCATTTGCATCTTCGAAATCAGCGATAAAAGACAATTCATTAAATTGGGTATTAGCTGATATTCAAATGAACGCAGACCAGTCTCTAATGACTTCAGTAAAACAATGTCGTAGCCACTCATTGCTAATTCCACAGAAGGCTAAACATAAATAAAATTAATGTTTTCAATTTGTGTTTTTAAGCAATACAATTTTTAAAGTGCAAGGTAACAGTGATATTGAATTAGATATAATATATATACCAAAACCTATACTAACAGTATTAGTAATGATGTGTTGAAAAGCATCTAAAGCCGTAAGTATACTTGAATCTTGGTAATCATCAAACATATTTAACGGTAATGGCATCACCAAGTATAATAAAGAATTTAAATGTGGCATCTAGAACAAAAAGTATGTTGAACTAAAAAGGACATTTCACCTGCATATGTTACAAACGTCGACATAGCAAATTTGCATTCAGAAGAATTCATTTTTATTTTGTTTGTTGATTTAACTATTTTAGTAAATTGGACTACTGTCAGATTTAATGGTAAGAATATTATCTAGGATATGTTGTAGACTTTTATTGATAATTGTGTTTTAAGTGATAATTTTAAAATTATAATTTATTATAAAATAGCTACATAACTAACTCACTTTAAAATTTAAATATCAATAAAAGCCTATTCTAGATAATATACTTCCGATAAAAAATTTATAAAAATTGGTCAAATTATCCTCAAATTAAAATAAACAATACAAATGTTCTATACACGCTTGTAAGACGAAGACGATACCATGCTGATGTAACATCCATTTAAGTGAACAAAAATGTTTGCTAAATAAAATCTTTTATAATGTTAACTTACTTTTAAGTATTTCAATATCCATATAAAACACTCAACAGCAGCCGGATATTTTTTCCAATTATCATTTTCTAATTTGCATTGCAAACCAAGAAAAATCTTAGAAACATCTAGGTGAGTAATTAATTCTTCAATATTTACATAATGCAAGAGACTGCACAGTTTTTCAATACACAATTTCATTAATGTATGGCTTTCTTCGTCACTCCACGCTAAATTTGATTTGCAATGTTCACCACATAAATATAAGCAAGGATTTAGTATGTCTTGAACCTTAATTTGAAGGTCTACATCATTATTTAAGAGTTTACTCAACAAAATGCTAAGTTTATTTAATATAGGTTTTGCAATTTCTAAATGAGCCAATAATGCTTTATCACGATTAGCCAAATCATTTTCATTTTTTGTTACTTCTGGTACACAACCAATTTGTATACATTTAATAATCTGATCAATATTTTGTGTATTACTTAGATCAATGTTTAATGCCATTTTGTAATTTTACCTACATAGAAAATTAAAAAAATTAAATTAAATAAATAAGACATGAATTAAAAATGATACAAATTTAGGAATATAAATTTTATTCAATAATTGTAAGATAACTTAACATGGACATTTAAATAATAATTTACAATAATATTAAAAATGTATGTATATATATTATATAATGTATAGCTATACATGTAAATTAAACTCGCTAATTCCCAGTTCATTAATATTGAATTTATAACAAAGGTTTACATTTCTTCTTGTTATAGTTGCAAAAAAATCAGAACCCAACCTTTTGAAGAGAATTCTACGATTTACACAATCTAATAAAGAATCACCTTGTTTAGACTGAAAATAACTTTGTCTAGTAAACATAATTGGTACTTTAAAATCTTCCAAACAAATTTTCAATGATGATATCATTTTTTCTACATAGGTATCCATATACTTTTCACCACCAGATACTGAATCTTGCCAATAGTTTGCAGAAACACTATCCAAAATAACCAACCCCACTTGAGACTGTTCAGTAAGAAATAGTTTTAATCTTTGAAATGTAACATACAAAGTTGGACTATCATAACAATTGATCAATGTTAATTTATTTAGACAAGCCTTAATTAAATTATCATCAGCGTTCTTAACTATACGCTTAATGATTTTAACTAGTTTGGTGATATTGAATTGTCCGTCTAGATCAATGTAAACAACACCTGTATCTAAGCCACACGCATTTTGGGGGATAATGCATTTGGCAATACATTCGGTCAAAAATAATGTTTTTCCTGTTGATGCATCTCCAATTATTTCTATGGTCTCACTAGTCAATTCGTCTGGTAATAAAGGTGTTAGATCTTTAATAATGGGCCGTGCTACAAGCCTTTCTAAAAGTTGTAATCCAGATTCAGCTTGAGATTTAAATTCCATAATTACCTTGTTCTCACGATATTTTTGTACTACTGAGAGCCAAGTTCAGTTTTAGATCCGTCAGTGACTTTTCACCGTATTTGTGTAAAGTTTTTATGGAATACTGAAAAAAAAACCATTCAATTTAATTATAAACTCAAAAATTCAATAAATATGAATAAAAATGTATTAGAAAAAATAAAATGTAGTCAAAATGTTTATTCAAAATAAAATGATGATAAACTTATAAGTTACGAGTTATAACCAACTAAATTTTTATATATAATATAGATTGATACAAACACAATTGTATACAAAACTAAATAACAAGGGGTATTACTGCTTCTACTATTAGACAAATAATAAAACATTATAAATATTATAATATTATAATTCTTGTGTATTATGAAAAGGTATAAAATAAAATTTATATTTACACGTTTGATCAACCAATGATACGACATTTTTCAATCAATCAAATATAGATTTTAAATGATTTAACTAGATTTGGTTAAAATGATTAGCATTTTGTTAGCATTTTATTTTTAAATTAAATTAAAAATAGTTATATAAAAAACAAACCTCATCAGTTTCAAATTTATTTTTTTTGAAATCTTCTTTTACCCAATTAATAAATTGCTGTCTATCGCTTTCTAATGGTATAGTCTTAATTGTTTTTAAAAATTCTCTATACAGTTTTAACGATTTCTGACGTAGCATAAACTAGAACATAAAAATACATAACATTTTAGTTATAAGACATTTGATATAGGTACTGTTGTCTGTTACGGACTGACTTAGGTTAGGGAGTAATGACATGAGATAATGATAAATATTCAAGCCAAGTATTTAAGGGGGGGCTTTGATCTTATAAAACTAAAATAGGAGGGGGCTCGACGGACTTTTAAGGGGCCAAGCCCCCTTAGATTTCCACCAATGAGTAGATCACTGTAATGTATGTGTTATAAATCATTATTTACAAAATAAGATTTAGAACAGAGACTTTCTGTCAGCCTCTGCCTATATTACATCTCGTTACATCTAATAATAATTTTATCAATATAAACTAACAATCACATAGGTAAATATGAGTATTAAAGCCTAAAGGCAAAAAATGAATGCAACCATAATGACAATACTACAATGTATATTAAAAAAAATAATAATACTTATGATTTAATAAAATATTTATTAGTAATTAGGAGCACCATTTTAACATGTGTGATTAATTTAATTTTTTTTTAAGTTATCCATAAAAATTGTATATAATTTTCACAGACAAAAATGACTACTATATTGAGATAAATGAAAAGTGGAAAATAAGTATTTAGTATTTTAGTTTCATTGTTTACCTTATCGTAACATTGTATAATTTTTAGGATTTCAATATTTGATTGTATCTGTGTTCAATCGGGTCGTGAAAATGATAAACTTTACTCAATCCAGTAACAGCCATACAAATTTCAGAAGTTTATAAGTAGTACAAACTACTCAATTACTCTACAAACTGAACCCATTGAATAGTATACAAATAGGCAAAATTTGTGTTCAGTATTTAGAAGTTTCACTATATTATAGTATATATAAATATTAAATGGGTATTAGGGTATTACCTATGTTTGGTAAGTACCCACTTCTTAATGTGCCTTATTCATAAATAGTAACCAAATGTAATGTACAGAGGCAGCAATGGTGTAAATCCATTTAATGAATTAGTACAAATTGGATAAATCTTGTTTAATGCACACAATCTCGTTAACAATTCGGTAAATTTGGTATTCACTCACTTGTTTCAAGTTCAGCGCTTTGTTGATCATATTTTATGCCAACCAAAAAATGTTCGGTGGACCACACATACAAATAAACATATATAATATTAATATGTAAATATACCTTAGAGTTGGGTTTAAAAAGTAAAACTGCTTTCAGAAAATTAAGAGAAATTCAAAAATAGTGAAATTTGAAACCACGGACAGTGAACTGTGAAAGTGTGAACTGTGAAGCTGATCTTTTATCACAGAATGAATTATTCAATATTTTTATTTTTTTTAATCTTATTCTGTGTTTTTTAGGGGTCGGGGGCAGTTGTCCGAAAAATGATAAAGACCCGGATCGAAAGACGGCGGCATAAAATGTATTGCCAACATTGAATTTCTAAAAATTATATTATACAATTATATTTTTGTTTGTGGGGTTTCACTGTTCCACTGAATGATAATTATGGATCACTACTAATCGTACAGTTAGGGATGCGCAAAAACCAGAATACATCGATATATCGATGTACCGATATATCGGCGTCTAAAATATCGATACACGATATTTTATAGAACGAAAAATATCGATGTATCGATATATCGATATTTATTTTATGTGCGAATAAATAGTTATCATCCACTTATATTATAATATAATTACTGTAGCTTTATATTAAAGATATTGAAAACGTAATTTTCGTCTTCATAACATTAATGTAACATTATAATATATAACATAGAAGGAAAATTAAGGTGAAGTATAAAAGGAATTGGTAATTATTATCTATCTATTTCGTTTTATTTATTTTCGTGGATATAATAATATGATAATAATAATATAATGTTAAAATCCTATTAGTAAAAAAAAATAAAAATAAATATTTATTATTAAAACTATGTATAAAATTGTCGAGATATTATAATATAATGTTAAAATTTCATTAATAATAAAAATAAAAATTAATAATGGTTACCTATTTACATTTTACTGCCAATATTTATTGTCTAAAGACTGTAAAAATACTAATTTTGATAATCTTGATCCCAATAATCTGTTTCGACTTTTGGTCATTATGTTTCCGGTTCTACTAAAAAGTCGTTCCGAAGGCACTGATGTCGCTGATATAGATAAATACTTTCTGGCTAAAGTGTATAAATTTGGAAATGCGCCTTTAATATTTTCCCATACAATAATTGGTTCATCTTTGAGCCCAACAACTCCTTTATCTAAATATGACCACCATTTGGTGTTTTATAAGTTTTAGTACAAATATTACATTTGTACATATATTGACTTAGTTTTGTAAAATATTGGAGAATACGCGGAGAACTCCATTTTGAAATTTCATTTATGTCAGTTAGGTTTAAATTCATTTTTAAAATAATGCAAAAGAGAAACTTATATATTATTATACAGTATACACAGTGCGCGACAAAAAGGTAAAGGCACAACGTTTAATACTAAGATAATTTATAGATTCTATATGTACTGGTCAACTTCGGGATATACCAAAATGATAGCAATTTTATCTTATTTTCTTGATTTATTAGATTTTGTTGCGACAAAGTCATAAAGGAAGTCGGTTTCGTAGCGTTTGAAACGGTTGTATGATCAAATTATCTATTTCATACAGTAATAATATTATCGTATATACATATATATTATCGTGCACATTGTGGTTGGGTTGTAAGTTATAATATTATCGTACATATACATATATATTATCGTACACTTTGTGGTTGGGTACATATTTTTTTTTTACTATATCTATTTATATTCGATGATAGACCTGTGCTAATAATGGTAGGTAGTTTGTAAATATATTATATATCGATGTGCATCGATGTGCATCGATGTTCATCGATATATCGAAACTAAAATATCGATGCGATATTTTCGATATATCGAACACACAATATCGATGAAACGATAATATCGATATATTTTGCGCATCCCTACGTACAGTGATGCGGTGCTAGCGGCACTCGTCGCTACGCTCCTCGGCGCCGTCGCTCCGCTCCGCAAATCGAAAATATCCCCCGACTTGCTGTGCAACACCTCCCCAAGTGGGTCACAGGGTTAAGAAAATTGTTTTGTGGAAAATTGTTTTGTGGAACAAATAGTACTTAAAAAAAAATAATTTTTGTTCCAAAAAAAATATTATTAAGATCCACAAATAATTTGTTCCAATTACTATTTGATCCGCAACATATTTGTTCCAATAATTATTTGTTCCACGAAATATCATATCATAGTATAACTTTTATCAACAGAAATAATAATAATAATAATAATAATTTATATTACAACATTTCGATTACAATGGTTGGCAGTACTTTTTCGATTTTCGATTTTCGGGTCCTTATCATTTTTCGGACAACTGCCGATGCCCCGTTTTTTAGCACTTATCAATAATTCTGATAAGGCAGGTAACTGAATTGTGCATAATCTATTGCCTATGCATATCATACAAGGGGTTTTAATAAAAATATTTAATTTTCAGATAATCATAATATAATTCAAGACTCAAGATAAATTAATAATAATTATTATTTATTATTATTGAGATTATGCTATTAAAGTACCTTAAGTACTTATTACATATTAATTATATTAATACAACTAAAACAATAAGTATCTAGTATGCACATTATGTATCTACCTAATTTCAAAAATAGTTATTATATATTTATATTTAAAAAATATAACATAATGAAACATTTTGAAGTGTTTTACTATTTTAAACTAGTATGAATAGAGTTGCGTAAAATATGTTTTAAGTATAATATAAATACAAGTTTACAAATATCATCAATTATACAGAGAACATACAAGATTGAATTTCTTTTTGCTGATACATAAGTTACACTTGGTGAATTATTTTCATTTTCGAAAAAAAAATAAAAACAACTGTATTTTAGATTCTGAGCGGAGCGATGATGTATTTATTTTACAATGATGTGTTTTTTTTTTTATTTTTGTATATTTGTGTTTGTCATCACTTTTTACTTTTTAGGACAGTAAAAATCTTCAGATTTGCTTCAACAGTATCTTTTCTGATAAGAAAGTGAATCTAATCGGAACTTTGGGAGGTTAAAAGTAAAAAATTCCTAATCGTTTTCAAAAATCACAGAAAAAAAAATTTAGGAAAACCGGAAATTTTTAAGCAATATCAATTTTTGACAAAATCAATTTTGGTTTTTGGTGTAACTCTATAAAACAAATGACAGTAAATGATTTTCTTATTTTGTTATAATTCAAAAACGAAAGACCGTAGATACATGGATTTTTCGGTAATCGGAATAAAAATCCCCCGGAAAAAAAATCCCCGGAAAAAAAATCCCCCGACGAACAACCACGGAAAAAAAATCCCCGACCCTAGGAAAAAAAATCCCCAGCTACAATATTCCTCACAATCACATGCAAATGGTTGAACAAATATATTTTGAACGTTAATTAGTATCTATAATTAATATTTAATGACAAATACGTATATTATATTCTATTATAATATAATATACTATATTATATTGTTAAAAAATTATAAAAATATTTAGAATGATCGATACGTCAATTAATAATACAGTTTAACTTAGTAAAACATAGTATACAAAAATATTATACAAAATATAGGTACCTATATATTTTATGTTGGTATAATTCTGTAGAAATTGAATCCCCGAAATAAAATATTGGGTTTTCTGTGACATTTTGACGATAAGCGGTTTAGTATATACCTTTGATAATATATAATATAAGGTAAAAGGTTACACCTACCTATCTAATCTGTAATGGGCTCACGAACATAATTTGGATACTCGTTATCTTAGCTACAAATTTAGCTACAAATTTAGTATTACACGATACACAAGTACAAAACGACTACGCTATGGAAACGCTGGAAATTTTAAAAACTAATGGTAAAAAACCTAAAATTACGCACATCGGCTTTATTTATCATTTTCAAAAAGAGTGTTCAAATTTTTTACGTTGGCGATGTTCTAAATTTAGCTCTTTAAAATGTCCGAGTGTACTTAAGACTAGTTTAAATATTTAAAATCCAATATTTGTTGGTCTTGATCATGACCATGTACATGATTCTAATAAAAATGCAGTCGCTGCTTTAAAATTACAAAATACAACGAAGAAAAAAGCACAAATATCACATGCAACACCGAGTCAAATATTTGCTGAGTCTGTGAGTAATGTACCACATGCAATATTATTAGAATTGCCAAAAGAAGAACACGTAATTATAGATACTATAATTAACGTTTAAAAAATATTTGTTCAACCATTTGCATGAGGTTGTGAGTAATATTGTAGTCTGGGGATTTTTTTTCCTAGGGTCGGGGATTTTTTTCCGGGGTTGTTCGTCGGGGGTTTTTTTTCCGGGGATTTTTTTTCCGGGGGATTTTTATTCCGGGATTCGGATTTTTCACTGGTTGTTTATATTAGCATTTTCTATACACGATAAAATTTTCAAAAAATTTAACTCTTTTTGAGCTGATAACAAACATTTTTAGTTTTACATTTTGTAAATTTGTTTTTTCTATAATTATCAATAACATTTATTTGTTGGGTCAAAAAGTGTGATACAAGGCTCCTGATATATTGTTAGTTATTACTATAGCAGTTAAAAATTATTAAAAATACATAGCTACAATTTTTTTTTATAGCCACCAATTAATCCCCTCACTAGGAATAAAAAATACCCAGAAGAATTATATTGAGGATTGACTAATTATACATAATTTATAAGAATTATATTATTTTATAATTTATATATTATTAGAAATATAATTTATATTGTATATTACTAATGTTAAAAATTGTTATTTTATATATTACTCTAAGGGACTCTAAGGGATTACGGAAGCATGTTCGAAAGTAGCTTTACTAGTAGGTTGTAGGTATAATGTATAAGTTCGAAAGTTTGACGCGGTGGGCTGGGTGAAAAATAAATAGTTGCCCGGACGGCCAGGCGCCAGCAGCTGTTGGGCACAGCGGCTCGGCAACTAGTGAACTAGCAAGTGGAAAGTTTGAACTTACAAGTTATAGCAACGACCACCGTCGACTACCTTGCGCGCCAAGCGGTGCGCCTAGACATAGCTCTGCGCGCGCGCGCTTTACATTGATAGTCGGTTGTTGATTGATACTAGAGCAGTAGAATCTACAACTGAGTTATATTATTGTAGATATTTGTAAATTGTACCTGTGTTCCATATTTTTGGGTGTTGAAATTTGAGAGTACGTCGTACGCGTCACTACTAAAACACATTTTCGAAAATCGAATGCGTCTGTGATCTAGTCCGTAAATCATTCATGAAAACCGTGCGGATAGCGTACCTAAGGTAGTAACTTATTGATTTTTCGTCACTTCGCGAGGTGCCCATTGAAACAGCAAAATAAACAAACTGCACATACATGATAAGAGTTGTAAATTTCGAATAATATGCCAACACTATTACTAATAATTTAATATAATTCTATTTGATTTGATTTGATTGCACCTCGTAGGTACTCTAGTAGATTTTTGTTTAACAGTATAATATTATTATCGTAAAATTGCACACACTAACAATCATAGTCGAAATGAAGAAAATGTTGAAATTGGTGAAAGGGGGGAAAAAAGAGGATAAAAGTGGCTCTGGCACGCCTTCAGGCGATGAACTAGAAGACGATCCTGACAGTACAATATTCTGCTATAAAATTGACTCTGAAGCCGAAGACAAAATGAGTCGATTACACAGGGCTTCGTGGCATGGCAGCCTAGAAAAAGTCAAGACATTGTTGCAAAAGAAACCGATGGACGTGAACACCGTGGACAGCTTTGACAGAACGCCATTACACTTGGCAATGGCCAAAGGTTACTATAACATTGCTTGGGTGCTGTTGAATCACAATGCTAGCTTAGATTATGTTGATTGCGATGGGTACACACCGTTCTTGAAGGTATCACTATTTTGAATTTGGTGGTAGTTTGTCATTCTTACTTAAAAATGAGTTTGAAGAATCAAATATTTTTGCTTAAGGGAATACCTTTATAAAATTGATTAAGTAATCAATTTATACCTTACTACAACAAATCCAGCACACTAAAATTAGGTATATCATAAATATTTTTCTAAGAAGTAGTTCCAATACCTACTTTTTTTTTAATTGAACAACATTTTATTTACAATCTGTAATTACAATATATATTACAATAAGTAAATGGGATGGAGATGATTAGCAGGAGGGGGGAAGTCACCCATTGCTGACACCCCAACAATACCTACTTAACGAACTAAAACTAAAATTTGGAGAACATTTATTACAGATACAGTATCCATTTTGCTGTAGGATTGCTTAAAAATAAATATCTAAAAATCAAATTTCTACAGACCTATTAATTTATTATCGTTTTATTGTTATTTGAATTTTGTATAGATACAATTATGTTACAAAATCATAATGTTTCATGTTTAATTATATAAATTGATTCTTCAAAGTCATATCATTATTATTTACATTTTACCAACAACAAATAATAATTGTCTAAACACAATTTATAGCCATCTAATGTGTGTAAATTTATAAATATAAGTAAAATAACAATGCACACGTAGGCTGTAGAATGCGGCCAAAAAGAATGTGTTCATTTAATGTTGGAGAGAGGGGCAGATGTAACACGCACAGACACAAATAAAAATTCTGCTTTACACTTAGCTGCAAAACAGGGCTCATTCACTATAATATCTATGTTACTTAAAAAAGGAATTAATATAAATGCACAAAATGCTGTAAGTATAACCTAACACGGCTTTCTTAGTACTAACAAAATGTTTCTCAAATGGTATATTATGTACTTTAAGTCTTCTGTTATTAATTTAGAGGACATTGTACTCATCTTACTATTGAATTACATAGCAAATGTAACTTAAAAAGAATTCATTTTACTTTTATTTTTAATATTAGTCTCCTGTTATCAAATTTAAAGGAAAAAATATTACTAGGGTACAACGTCCTTAATTAATTATCCTTATGATCATTAACATTTGCTTCTATTAATTTATTAAATTTAATCTACCAAACATATATTTATACAATTATTTACATTATCTTTTAGTTGTCATTTTTGTATTAACCCATCTACATTTAAAGAAATAACATTTGAGAAGTATGATCAGATTTGTATTTATATTTATGAATTAATTTAAGAAACACATTTTTAGGCAGGTGAATCCGTTTTACATGTTGCATGTGCTGCTGAAAATCGTGATCTAATAGAGTTTATATTAGATAACGGGTCACTAATAAACATAGCGGATAAACAAGGACGTACACCATTAATGGTGGTAGCGAAACTTGGAAATATGTCTATTGTAGACCTGTTATTGGACCGAGGAAGTCAACTTGATGCTTGTGATATAAATGGTTATTAAATTAAAAAATATTAAGTATTGAAGGTTATTTATTATTCACAATTTTTTGTTTTGTTTTAGGTTTATCTGTGAAAGATTATGCTGCTAAAGCAGGTCATTCGAAAGTAGTGAATCAACTATCTATGCAAAAACTGAGTGTAATGGCCCGAACTAGATCTAAAGAAAATGTTTTAGATGATTTGGACCAGAATGATGGTGCTCAGTTACAAGAAAATAATGATAAATCAAAAAATCAAAAAAATGTTGATGCTCAAATTATAGTAAATAAAAAAGAAAACAAAATAGCAAAATCAAATGTCGAAGATAATCAAAATGAAAAAGAATATGTGGCTATAAATTCTATAGTTGCAAATGATAACGATTTAAAAATTAAAAAAATCGAGGCCGAAAATGTAGAAAATAAAAAGGAAAATCTGACTTTAAACTGCAAAGTTAATCATCCTGACGAGTTAAAAACAAACAAATTAGATAGTGAAAATAATCCGAGTGAAAACGAAATTATAACTTTGAACTCTTTGGATAATGAACATGAAATAGATAATAGCTCAATAGAAACAGAAAAAGAAGTAAAATCACTTATTGAGAAAAATAAATTAACTATTGAAACCAAAAATGCATCTATAGTAAATGTTTTACCAATCAAAGATGAAGAATCAGTATCTCAATGCACAATGCCTCCACCATTAGATCCACCTAGAAGTTGGGATTTTATACAGACAAGCATAATACACACTACAGATATTAATGAAAAAGCTGAAAAAGAAACTCAGGAAAGTATTGAGCAAATTCCTGATCCAATTATATGTGCAGTAAACACAGATGATTCAGAATTGGAATGGGGAAGTGATGAAAGCCTTCCAACAGATCCTAATCAATCCTGTCCGGCTGTGGACGATAAGAAAGAAGAAAATAAAAAAACGAATACATTTTATAATTTTATAACTTCAAAGTTAATGAACAAAACAAAAAATAGAGTTTCTGCATCTGCAGACAATATCATTGATGATACTACTACTAAAAAACATGTGAGGAATAAGTCTTTCACTTCACTCAGGACTTTTAAACTCACTGTTCCATCAGATGTAAACAAAGCTTTATATCAGCTTAGTCCAGAGATGAACTTTGCACATTCTTCATTCAGTAAAAGCAAATCTTTTAATGAACATATACCCAATGAAAATGTTGAAAAAAATTCTTTAGAATTTGAACGTTCTAAATCATTGTGTTTGGAATTAAAACATAACTATGATATAACCGAGAATCAGCAGAGAGATTCAGATAGCCAAAGTGATGATAGTTTACGATCAAAAAGAAGCCTTTTGTTATCCATGCGAATGCCTAAAGTTCACGATGAACATCATGATGACTATCATTTAGATATCAAGGACAGTGAAACATCTGAAGACGAGGGTCCACATTATTGGTACAGTCCAAATAAAAAAAATGATAAAATAGTGCAACAAGACACTGTTATACGGAATTACAGTGAATCTGATAGCGAGTAAGTTTATATTTCAAAAACAATACAATATTATTTTGCTTAATGGTTTTTAGTTTAATAAAAAAATACTTATATCCTATATTATTTTGCGATATTCAATTTAATTTATTTTTATTTTTTTTTGTTAACTTATAAATTTAATAAAATATTACTAAATTGAATATATACTTAATTGATAGGATTACATGCAATATTTTTACTGAGTAAAAAGTATGTTATTCATTAATAAACTTCTTTGTTGATTTCAGATCTGAAGAAATTGGTTTACCAAAATCTAAGTCAACTCCTGGTAAATATAATCCATTATTATAAATATGTATGTACACTTTACATAATTAATTTAAGAGGAAATTCATTATTTCAAAATATTATTTTTGAAAACTTACATTCGAGATTTTGAAGTAGTTTTTAAATATTTTATATATTTACATAATACATAGATAGCCTTTATTAAAATATTTTCCTACAAAAATAATTAAATACAATTTTGATTTTCCATACAAGAGTTTGGTACAAAATGTTTAAAAAAAAAATATTATGGTACATAGTACATAACATACCTATTTAATTCATTTCTGAAATAATAATCTTATACTAAATGGATCAATTAACTGCTTTCTGAATCCCCCCACTTACAGTAAAGTACTTTTTTAATAACAAAATTTAAATTTAAAATTTACTGTGCCAACATATCTCTTGTGGTCAATTTTCGGAATGGTTTACAACTTTTCTATAATTTCTGTCTGCTTTTCTTTCAATTGTAAATACAAATTGCATCTTCATAATCAGTCTTATATGCTTCAGCCTAGATTTTTCTATGTGGTCTCACCCTTCAACACTTACTAAATAAACAATTTCAATCAGTGGCACCAAAGTCTTAAAAAGTTTATGTTGCAAACAAATATATATATAATTAATCCTATTTATTATATCATCTATTCCCATATGGACCATACTAGTATTCAAATTTTCTTATAGTACGTACGTCGTACATGGTACTATAATGAATGCTATAACCATATTATTTTTTTCTGGGTCCTATTAAGAGGACGCCACACCCGCATGTGTTGTCTCCGTCTTACAAATGTACAACATAGCAAAAACTCTTTTGCGAGGGACAACTTTTCTCGCACTATATTTGTTGTAGAACTACCAAATTTTCACAGCCACTTAAAGAAGAACTTTATCTGTGCAACAGCGTGCTCTTTTTTCAATAACATATATACAATACAAGTTATTTGCTTCTAAACATTTGGTTTTTAATTTGCTTATAAAAATGATTGGATGGTGCTATTGAAAAAAAGAGCACGCTATTGCACAGATAAAGTTCTTCTTTAAGTGCTGTGAAAATTTGGTAGTTCTACAACAAATATGGTGCGAGAAAAGTTGTCCCTCGCAAAAGAGTTTTTGCTATGTTGTACATTTGTAAGACGGAGACAACACATGCGGGTGTGGCGTCCTCTTAACTTATTACCTATTCATCCATCCAACCCCATTTAATATTTATATTGCTGGTGCAACAGGAGTACTGATTCCAACAGACTTTCATGCAATGCATTATGGCCAATCTACAATTAATGTTTTCTTCTTATCAAACTTTTCCATAATGTTCTTCTTTCCAATATTTTATTTAACACATATTAATGTATTACTTTTACATTCCACCTTATTCTTAGCATTCTGTAACACTACATTTAAAATGCCTCATCAAGTTTTTACTTCCATATAGTATTATGATCCTCCTTTTCAATCTTATATTAGCCAAAAATTATTCAACTGATATAAATTGTTTGGTTTTAATTACCATCATTCATGATTACGTGATTTTTGTCAGTAATTTTGAAGCATGTGACAGTTAGCTGGTGGTTCTAAATAATTTCACATTACCTTGATCCTGCTCTTTAATTTTCTGTTTTTATGCATTCTATTCATGTAATTTTTTGTTTAAATATTATAATGTTTTATAAAATTAAAAACTTAATATCTCATAGTTTTCTTTATCTAGTAAGTATCTTCCAGCTGTTGACCCTTAAGTTCTTTATATGTAATTATACAGAGTTTTCAAGTATTCTTTCCATCTTTCTGCTATGTGGATTTGTTTGTACATTATATTTCTTTTGGTATTTTCAATTGCTCAATGTCTAGTATTGCCTTGTCCAAGGAACTTCACTACTTTATATGCTTCATCTCTTCAATTACCTTCTTAAGAGAAAGTTGCACTCGTGTATTATCTCCGTCTTACACATATAAAACAGCAAATTTGACGCTCAGCAGTTCACGTGTAGCTCCATTAGTTTAAATATTAGAGTGAATTGACTTATAAAATTTAAATTAAGATTTCTATTAGAGTCTATGTATTATCTAAGGCATCTCATAGGCTTTTTGTTATATTTTAATTTTAAAGCGAGTTATAAGTATTTTAAAATTGTAAACGGTTTGTACATCTTAAAATACTCGCTTTAAGAAATCAATTTAAAATTAAAATGTGACAAAAATTCAAGGAGGTGCCCTAGATAATGATCTTACCTTTAAATTTTATATAAGTCCATTCAGTCTAATTTTTAAAGTAACGGAGCTAAACGTGATTTGCTGAGTGTAAGACGGAGACATTGCATTGGTTTGACACGTCCTCTTAAAGATTTATAATATTTTTCTATTAACTTCAAAATATTCTTCCTTAGCTTCTTTTGCAGTTTTATTTATTAGGTTTCTTCATTTTTTATATTTTTGCTATCCATCTCCACTATTTAAATTGTTTTTATGATCTTCTATCGTATCCACAATATCTGCTATAATCCATTCCTTTGTTTGAGTGGTTTGTTCCAATAACTTTTAATACTTAAACTACATTCCAGTTTTCCACATTATTACTAAGCTTTCTTCACCTTTTACTGTCTTGATTACTTCTTATATCCATTCATACACTTTCTATTACCAACCTAGTAATAAATAGTGCTCGGATTTATATGTAAGTAGATAGATATTTTCAGTATGACTTGATGATTTAATATTGCCTGTTATAAATTAATTTCACATAGTTTTCAATTAAATGATTATATTTTATTTTAAATATAGTGTCGTAAATACATGGTTTTAAATTGTTCACATTTATTTAGTTTTTCCCCATATATTTAGATAATTTTGTTAATTTAGAGTAATATATTACTATAGTTTTCAACTTATTTCTAGATAAAATGCTATCAGCTGAAATACCAGATATCTTATTGAAGTATCAATTAATTTTTATTATGGATATCCGAAAAGTCAACATGAGACGAGCCGTAGTGCATGTTTAGTCTGTGTTTGATGTTTACATATGTGTCAATCTAATATTTTAAATTTTTAATACATTGTATTATAGATACCATTTTTTAATAGAATTTATCAATGCAAGTATTTATAAGACCATACATTTAATATAGAAACAATTATAGTATTTTTGAGAGTACATTGCATATTTTAAGCTTTTAGCACTTATTTATGTATATTAGTTTGGTTGCATAATTACATATTTCGGTAGTATAAATACATTAAAATCTGAGCACTAGCAATAAATAATAATTGGCTATTTCCTAATATGCGGTGTACTAAAAAAATATTCTGTTGAACATTTAACTACCATAATTATAATACTTGTATAGTATACAATCTACAATACACATTATATTAACTTCAGTGATTTTACTGGAAATAAATAATTATTAAAATTAAAACTAAAACTGAGTTAGAAATATTATGATTCTAAAGTTTAAAAAAACAAAAAATTTCATTTAATTATTATTTAACTGAATTCTAGGTAAACGATAAAATTATTTTACAAGCATTTTAAAAAGTTAATTATAATCTACTCTACTAGTTTGAGTAACTCACTGTAATATAACGTAATAAGTGACACTAAACCAAATAAGCTGCTGTGACCTATAATAACATTGGTTTTATAACATTAATAGTGGCAGATGAAAAGATAAATTGTGTAAGGTGATTTCAAATAATACAATTATTATAATGATACAGATATCCCATGTATAATAGAAAACAAAACATTAGTTTATTGCATATCGGGAAATAGCCTAATATTTAATACGTGTTATCATTATTTATATTATAATTTTAAAAGCATGTTAAAAAAAAAGTAATCAAAATAAATTTACACGTACACACAACTCTGGGTTGTGCCACTGAAATGAATCATTCTGCATAATATATGGAAATATATAAACTATGTAATAAAAAATTGAACTGTATATAATTTTGTCTTAATGAAATTTGGCAGAAGGAATTTCTAAAGAACATAATACATCAGATAATTCCGATTCAGAAAATACAATATCATTTTCAACTAGCCATGAAGATATTTATGGAACACATAAACGCACTAGATATGCTTTAAAAGTAGATTTTAATTAACTAATAATAATGTACTGAATTATTATTATTATTATTTGAAACTGTTTTAACATATTTTTTATAGAGAACTGAATCTCTTAAAGCGTATCTGAAGAGAGTAACTATTGATAAAGACAGATTACAACAAGAATCATCTGGTTATAGAGAAATAACAGAGCTGTTAAAATACAAGTTGGAAAATCTTAAACAAGATATTTCCAGTAAAAATGAAACAACTAAGAGACTCGAAGAACAATTAGATCAATTAGATGCTAAATACACAGAAACTTTAAACAGGATTCAAACACTTGAACTGTCTTCAACAAATTTAGATAAAGAAAACCAATATCTCAAAAAAATAAATAAAGAGGTAACCAACAATAATATAATATCATTAAATCATTGTTTTAAGACTGTGTAAATTATGGAGTTAAAACAGTTTGAAATATATGAATACTTGCTTTTTTACCAACAGTTATTTTATTTACGTGTAAAAATACAAGTACATGTATAACTTATTCATGGATCTAAAATCTTTTTGCCATCATTTAAATATACTTTATCTGTATTTTAATTTTGTTGACAGATGATGGATAAAATCAACAATGAATATACTTCTAACAGTGCACAAAACTCTGTAGAAATAATAACTGTAAGTATAAGTAACCCGATATTAGTCGCGCCAGTGTATATTACGTCATTAATCGTTTCATTATAATTTTTAAGAAAAAAAATCTTTGTTTCATACATTTTTATTTGTTTGATTAAAACAAATTAATATTTCATACAATGACAAATAAATTGAAAACGTTATAAAAATGTATTAAATGGATAATATTTTAAAAATAGGGGAATGTACAAGGTTTATTTAAATTTATAGTTAGGTATATTATGAATAATATCTCATTTAAATTTTAGTTTAATCTATATAATATAAGTAATTCAATTTATTTAGAATATTATTATATTATTTTTAATAATATTTCTAAAAGGTATATTGAGTATCAATGATTAAAGTGTATCTTTTATTAAAAACTTAAAAAAGTGTGGTCTTATTGATTAACCGTGGGTTGTATAAATGATATTCAAAAAAATATTCTGTCATTAAACATTTCTTTTTTTAGCAACTTGAATCCGGCAATCTTATTGATGAAACTGAGGATATGTGTACAATGGATAGCAAGGCTTTTGTAAGTATTAAATATTTCTCATCTTAAAGGTTTACCTTTACAATGTGTAAACATTGTAATTATAAACAAATAAAATATTTTTTTTTTTTTTTAAATATTGTATTTAAAACTTTATTTTTTTTTGTAGATAAAACAGCTACAAGAACAATTAAAACTGGAACAGGATAGACGGATAGAACTTGATGAACGTGTTAGACTTTTATCCGTAGAAGTTAGTGCACATCAGTCATGTAATTCAACCGTGGAATTGCTGAGAGAATTACAATTAAAAATTACCAAAGATTATGTACCCAAAAAAGAAGTATTGAAACTTAAAACAGAACAAGAAAGAAAAATCAGTAAAGTGAAAATGGAAGCTGAAAAAAAATTAGCTGACAAATTTTGTGACCTTGATAAATTATTATCTCAACAAGTGCGTGTCAATTTTATTAAATATAAATTTATAAATTATCACTTGTTAACATATAAATGTTCTATATTCACCATTTTTAGATGGATCAACAAGGAAAATTAGAAATGCAAAGAGAAAAAATTGAAAGTCAACTTAAGCAGGAATTTGAGAATACAAGACAAAGATTTCAACTAGAAATTGCAAAACTTCAAACAACACTAAAGAGTGAGTTAAAAATATACTTTTACACATAATATAAAAATGTATATAGGTATCATTTTTATACAGCCAAAGAAATGGAGGAACAAATATTAAGGGAACGGTGTGAGATTCTTTCGCAAGAAATTGAAAAAACTCAAGATAATAAATGGAAAACATTGGTGGACAAAACTTATGGAATAAATGATTTGTACGTAAACAGTTTTGAATTTATTTACAATTTATATGTTAGCTATACATTTTAGGCCTAATTAGTTTTTCAAATTCTACATTTCCCCTGTTTAATGAAAGATAAAAAAAAGATTCATATAAAAAAAAAAAAACGTAGAACGCTGCTTGATATTTTTCCTCTGCAAGGAAACTATGAACCATACATATGTTTTAGTGGCACCGAACTTTGTCTATGAAAACTATTTTTAAAAATACCAATTTATTGGCATTGTGGGAATTAGTCAACTTACCTAGTTGTATAGTGATATTAATATTATCACAAGAACTATGGTAACAATAACAAGAGTTAAAAACATTACAAAAATCGGTTGGAAAAAAAAAGTTCTAGCCAGTTTAAAAACATAATATTTATGTTGTAATTATCCGAACAGAAAATAATTAATAAATATTTGTGACAAATAACCTCAATTAATATATCCAGCCTTGATAACCTTTATTATAATCAAAAATCAATTTCAGACTAAAAAGTTCACCTGATATGTTGTCAATGCGTTGTAAAACTCCAGAGCCAAGTCCCACATTTGAAAGACAAGAATTAGGAGACATTTCTAGATATCAATACAATGTCCAAACACTTCGAAATGAACTGGATAAAGTCATTACACAAAACAAAAATGGTAAATACGTCAATGTTATTACAACTATTAGTTTCTTGTTAAAACAATAATCTTGTTCTTCATAATTTATGTTACATTTATCTGATATTCATATCATATAATAATTTATTTTATTTTTGAAAGCTGCTCTAGAAGATGACACACTGTTTGATGAATAAATATAAGCAATATAGCTGTATTATACAAGCTATGCTGTCTCTATTGAAATTGCATTTATCGTATTTATGTTACGTTTAGCGGCCTATATCATTTTTATATGCTGACCCCATTTAGCCCTAAACAATTTTCTGTAAAATATGACATGTGGTTGAACCACTGGAACCACTCTCAATTGTTCAAGTGGTGACTACCGTACACACACATATAGTTCAGTGTCACTTAAAAATTAATTTATTGTATATTTTTTTTATTACTGATAATTATAGTTTTAAATATGTGTACTGAATAATACAATTGAACTCGGAAGTTTGGAACATCTTTACAAACTCAAGTTTAAAATAATTATATTATATTTACAGTTTTATTTATATACAATTTATTAAATTAATTTTAACTTTTATTATTATTATAAATATATTTTTGTTCCTATTATATATACTATATAGATATTATAAAAGATCTTCTACATTATTAAATACATTCCAGGGTGATATATATGTTCAGAACAATGATCATTAAAAATTGAATGCAATTAAAGTTGTTTGTATATTTTATTTTATTCAAAAATAACTGTATGATTATGGCTGCTTTCAGACTTCCGAGACTAATTAAAATGTGTTATTGTTGTATAAACAAATATTAATTATCTAATTACTAACTTAAATCAAAAACACTTTTAGAATATATTGCTGTGCTCTCTGATTACTGGTAGATTCTGGTATTTAATAGTCTAAGTTCTAATGGTAATCATTTAGTATGTGACTAACCGGCTAGCGACCTACCATATTGGGTATTAATTTAGTATATGACCTACTGGACTGAAAATCTACTAACTGAAAAAGCAGGCAAATTAAAAATCATAAAATAATGTTAATTAGTAATACAAATATGAAATAATATAGGATTACATTTAACAATGTCAAAATCAGTCAAAAAAATATCAGTTTAAAAAAAATTAAGGTACCTACATATAACAGCAATATGTCAAAACTATTCAAAAAATGTCATAAAATTAAATTATTATAAAAAATTGTATTTAATTTTTAAAATATTTTTAGGAATACACTTTGTATATTACTTAAAATTTAAAAAAATATATCTTACCTGTCAATAGATCGATCCCCGTACGGCCGTAAGTTGCCCGTACATAATATAGATAACCATCTTGGTAGTTCACATACCAAACTCGATTTTCTCTGGGTAGGTCTCATACTAAATGAATACTGTTATAATTCTATTTTGTATAAATCAAACATTAAATACAACATTATTTGTTATTTCTAAAAACCCGGTTTTAAGTGCAGCAGCCAGCAGCTATGTCCTATCATTGATTATTTATATATTATTAATGTTCACTCACTAAGTAGAAACCAATCCAACATAGTTCAACGTTTATAATTCACTACCTACTCTAGTTTATAACCACACAAAATGTTATATTTTCTATTTCAAAATTATGTAAAACCATTATGTTGCATTTTTTTAGAAATCACAGAATAAAAGTTCCCCCATAACGAAACTCACCCTGCAAGAAAAAAAAACCTATAATAATTTTAATATTAGATTTTAATTGACATTTGGTTCTACCAGGTTTAACACAACTTAACAAAGTTTACGAATTTGTGTACTTAAATGTAATCTATACAACAATCAACTTTATAGACCAGTGTACCCAATTATATAAATTTAGTAAACTGCTTTACTCAACCTAGTCAATATTTCAACCTTTTTTTTTTTTTATCAATATTTAGATGATAAAATTCAATCACATTACACAGGTATTTCAATATTTATAAATAAATAACTGTATACTAAATATGACTAATGTGCACTTGGTAATACAGTTCAACATTTGAAGTTCCAAAAATTTAAGTTTTCATTTTTTTTTTCCTTTTTAAATATCTATATTTAACTAATAATAATTATAAAAATGAAGATGTCTGATTATAACTTCAAATATAGGTCTTGAAAAATTAAGTCATTATTTGTACACGGTTAAGCATTCTTAAATATTGTATATTTGAATTTATAAAATATAGTATAAGACAGTTCTATATGTCACATGGGCTTTTTTACTGTAGTATATTTATTTTTTTTTATTTTAAATTTTTTCTCTGGGTCTTTTTTACTCACTACTGTTTATATATCTACGTTTACTTTTAGAAATTACTAATTTTGTAAGTTCCTTTATAGATGCATCTCGCAAATGTACAAATGTAGCATTGCATCACATAGAGGATCATGTTTCCATAATTTTTATCTATTGATCGTATTACCTATACTAGAATTGTTTACACTTTATCTAATTATTTTTAATTGTGAATTGAAGCAATATTAATTTTTTTATTAATTTATGTATACTTGATGTTATTGTTTTAAATAAAAAATCCAAAAATTTTGATCTATAACCTATGCATATTTATTTTTATCCTTTACCTATGCATGTAATCAACTGACTGAAGAACAAATTACAGCTGCAACATGTAAAAAAATTATGTGGCATGCTGAATCATGTTTGTTCACGGCAGACAGCAATTTCAACAATTTATACGTTAAATTAATTAAAAGCTAAATATACTTATAACTTAAAAAAGAATTAATTTTGTTATGAATTATTAATAGATTCCAATAGATTCATTAAACCTAATAAAGTAAACAATATATTTATTTACGTATCACTTAAATAAGTAGGGGTGAAAATTTTAAGCCTAAACAATCCTGGAATGATTATTTTCAGTTACAGTAAAAAACTTGTAATTTGTAGCTTGGTCAAATTTGGACTTAAAAAGTTGGTTAAACCACCAAAATTATTAAAAAATTAGGCAAAATATAATTGGTGATTAAAATAGGTGGTTGTCATTTAAAAAAAAAAAGTTGTACTTCGCATGAGCAAGTCTAATTAAGTTGAAAAAATTCAAAGGCTATAAAAAGGCGTATTTTTATGTCATAACAACCAACAAGAAAGCAGTATTCAAATTTCACGGCTCTACGCGAAGATATTGAGTGTTCTCAATTAGCATTTACACACTGTATATAATTTTACTAAATAAACTTTATTATGTTTCGATGATAAATTATTCATGGCCTTTGTAACTAGGTATGTATGATGTTGTGTAAGTTGAATATCATATAAATTACAATATTACTGTTAAGAATTGGTTGGCATGTTGGGAAATTGGGAACTTTTTTTATGGGCCAGTATATTCGTGTAAGCTATTTTATTAGTATTTTATGATGGGCATCTTTTTTTTATAAAGACCATTTTATTAATATGTAGGTACATTGTACAACTAATAAGTAATAACTATACCTAATATTATGTACTTAGGTACTTTCAAACTTAATAGTGCGCCGCCACTGCCCACTAGTGCTTATGGATATGATGGATATTAATTATTATGACATTGGGTGGTTCAAGCCACTAATTTCATGTACAGCTCAACGGACCTTCAACTTTCAAGGCTCAGCGCTAGGTAGGTACCACCACAAAATTCTTCCATCATTCTGCATGATCATTCATAATAATATACCAATCCATCTGAGCACTTTCTCACAGTCTTACCAGATATTTTAGGTCTTAGTTAGGGACCCAAGATATTTACCAACCCAATTTTTTATGCCACCTTTTTGAATATAGTGGCTATATGGCTATCCAGTCACCACCACCAGGCACCCCTAGCCTCCCCCCCCCCAAATTTGCGACTATGATACCCCATGGGTTGTTTGTTTGCATGCCAGGGTGGCAGGATTCCAGGGTCGGCATGATGCCGGATGGTTCGGAACGGTGCTTTGCATTAGAGTCACCAGTGGTGACCATAGGCGCAACTATACCAATATTTTTGGGGTTGCACAAATTTAAAAAAATTCCCAGACCCTTCAAATTGCCAGTGTTTGGGAAGAACGTCGTTCACGTTCATAATTAGTGAACGACTTAGTACAAACTACACACTCGAGACCTATACACAGTGCATAACCACCAATAACGCCCTAGGGCAACAATATTTGACGCCCCTCACCCTCCCACCAAAAAATCTCGACTTCACATTTTTAGCTTATAATTAACCACATACCTTAAATATGTTTAATACTTATTAATTAAAGGTTCCTACTTATTTTTTTTAATATCATTATCGGAATCATATTTATTTTGTTTCTATAATATTTTCGAAGTTGACACCCATTTCATTATTCTGGGTACACTAGTACATTACAGAAAGAAAATATATAGAACTATTTTCACAAATTAGTAAGGTGAAGTGGGGTAAGTGCCTAACTGGGGTAAGTGCGTTTTCCAGTATTATGGTGGGAAAAATAAATTCTATCACTCATATCAATAATGAAAATTAAATAGTGGGAGCTTAAATATCTAATTTGCAACACTGTACGTTTATTCGTTTGCGTGCTATCAGAGTTGATATCAACAATTGTAATATCACTCGCGTTTTGAAAAGTAGACTTGTTATCAATTATTTTTTTTGGCAATTCAAATTTATTTGGGAAGCTTCTAAATAAGCTAAGTTGTGTAATTTTATGTGTAGCTTAGGTTTTTAGTGATATTTACGTGTTTGATTATACAATTATATTCGCTAATTCGGATTATGCTCTTCCCCCGTGTAAAATGACCAACGGGGTAAATGCGACATTCATTTATGTGTAAGTGCGACATGACATGCCGCAGTTGCCCCTTTTAAAAATTAATATTAATTATTTTAGTTACTTGAGCTAAACATTGTTTTTTTTCTAATACAATGTCAGTTATGTATCATATTAATACTTAATCTATTAATTATGATTTATACTAATATTTTGATGTATTTTAACTGATATAAAAAAAAGGATGAGAAAATATTTTAAGGATGAGAATTTATATTTGGAATTACATTTAGTCAATATAATCTAAAAAAGTAATCTAAAGTCTGATAAAATATATGAAAATAATTTAGTAGTTACTTAAAGCATTTGATTTAAATAATTATTATTAAAAATTTTCATATTTTATTATTATTTATTTCTAAGTACTTATGACATTTGTTAACTTTTTGTTTTTTATATAGGTATATACAAACATAAATTGTTTAATAAAGTATTTGAAAATATTTGCATTGTTGTTTTATCAAAATACTATATAAATCTTAAAATTTCTTATATGAGAGTGGAGTGAAATGTAAGTATAAGGAGATGCTCATAGTTTGTAGGATATGATAAAAATGTGACAATATATTTGTAATTATAACAATAGCTGTCATTTCTAAAATATTTGAACAAATACAGCTTTGTAAAAGTAGTATTATAGCTAAAAATTTTTAGTTTAAGGCACTTACCCCACGTTTAAATAACAGTGGTATTAGTATTTTTAAACAGTCCGTTTTGCACTTACCCCTTGTCAAGGGGCAAGTGCGACATTTTTTTTTTTTTTTTTTTTCAATCGTAAAAATGTTTTTAAGATATTTCACATAATGTTGACAGTGTACTTAGATAGACCACTTCCATATCAGTACATTGCAATAATCATCATATTTTTAAGTTAATTATTTCAGGAGAAATTGACAGATCAAGTTGAACTATTCAAAATTCCGTCGCAGTTACCCCACTTCACCTTACCTAGATTTCATTATAAATCATACGTTCTGAGTTTCTGCGTGTGTAATAACAGTGTGGTATAACAGTCAAGATTGTAAATTGTACAAGTGAATATAAGTGATTATAATAATATACAGAATACAGTCAAAATACACTAACTCGATTTATTTTAAGAAGTGGGTAAAATTGATAATGAGTTGTTTAAACTTATAAGTTATAACATAGTTTACGTCATAGATCTTTGCGTATAATAATTACAGTAGCACAACTACCCGTGGGTGAGGGTGGTTGATCACTGAATATCACTGTATATCAAATTCACATTATTTTTTTAATGTATTTATGTATGAATCAAATTTCACTGTCAGTGTAGATATTTGATGTATTATTGAAATATTATTCTATTAATACAGCCTACAGGTGTTGCACAATAAATGTGTCAAACTTCTAGGGGTGTTTCTACACCTCAAATAGAACAATAAAAGTCCTTATGACCATAATTGAATTATCAATAATAAGGGTGATAATCTCTATATTTGTGTTTTTTGGTTAAAAGCAAGTTTGATTCATAATAATGTTCATATCTGCTAAACCGTAGGCGCTACAATTAATTTGACTACATTGATGAAAAGCTCATAAAATTAGGTTTAGGAAAACAATAAACATATCGTACAAGGTTCCCACCCGATTTTTTGGGTAAAAAGAATAACACAAATGTTTTAAAACTTTAAAATGTCAAAATTTTAAAAAAATTCAGTTTTATCTAACAACAATTATTTTTTAAGGCAGGGGTATAAGGACTTTTTTTGTTCCATTTGAGGTGTAGAAGCACCTCTAGAAGTTTGTCACATTTATCGTGCAACATCCTGTATAAAATAATTTAATAATGATGACATTTCTTCATATTTTCCCAGGCAAATTAAAAGAGGATTATTAAACACAACAATTATTACGGACCTCGCTTTGTCTATAATTAAAAATGGTTTCTGTAATCTATACTGCGATTTTCATAAATTTTTCCGATTACAAAATCAGAAAAAAAATATCTTTTTCAAGTGAAAATATTATTTAATAGGTCCTACCAAAGATATGAATTAGTTTAGTTTATAACAATTATAAGTATATTACTTAATTATTTTAATGATGTGTATACATATTTAAAATATATTTCATGTAAATAAATTACTATTGTAATCTTATAACTATAAGTTATAAGCATTAATATTTTTATTTGTTTTTATGAATATTGAATATATTATTGAAGTTATGTCGCATTAAGATTTAACATATTATTTACATAATTACATAATTGTAATATTGTATAGGTACCTACTTATAGTATACAATTTGATAGATACCTACTCATCTTTGATACTACAGTATAAACAAAAAAATAATACCTAAAATAAAAACACCAAATTTTTCTTTTTATCATTCATTTTTAGTACGCCCCCTAAATTCATAATACTTTAGATGCCCTATTTGCCCCTCCCCCCCTTGAGACGGCTATGCCTATACAACAAGTTTGAAGTTACAACCATTGAACAGCAAAGGGGGTAGAGGGCGAGGAGTTTATACAAGACGGATTTTTGATAACAAACTCAATAGAAATATGATAAAAATTAAAAATTAAAAACTATGAACTATGAAGACTAGAATATTCACGTATTAATATAAGTATGTTTTCTAATATTCCACTATTCTTGTCTTCTGTCGTCTTCTTAATAAAAACTAAAGCCCATAAACTTTAATAATTGATTTATTGTTTACAATATTGTTAATATCAAGCAGGTAACCATCTTTAGTTTATATTTTGAATTAAAAATTAATTGATCTTAGGTACCTATGTCCTTAAATTATATTTTAAATGATTAAAGGCATGTTAAAAATTCAACCGCACACCCCCCCCCCCCCCGCTTTAAAAACATTAGACAGCCTCTAGGATAGTTAAACCCATAATTAAATAAATCATAGAATATATGGTATTAAAATTAAATTAAATTAATTTTGTGTTTAATCACTACACTATACCATCTACCATTTCTTGTAATTCAATATAGGTTCCATTATTGGTGTTGTAATGAACAAATTGGACAATAAAATAGTCACAACAAAAAATAATGTGGGCAATGAGTTCGAAAAAAATAATGGCACAGGTAAAAATATATTACTCACCAAATGCATTTGAAAACAGTTTCCATGGTGTACATAAATTTGTATTGCAGGAAAAGACAACCGATACTTGTACTTGCGTTCTGTGGCCAAAATCGAGTGTGGTCAAAATGAGGGTACAGCAGTTTGCGTTCACACATCTGACGCTGTCGGCGGACACCTGTTCCTCACCTGTGCTCATGTCGTAGACTATGTTTGTAGGAATATTAAATGGTGATTCATTTTTGATACATTTACGAAATCTTGTTTTTTGGTAGACAATCCAATCGGTAATATTACGATATGATGGACGTGCAATTAAAGGTAGAGTTATATATGTTAATCGTAAGGCTGTACCATATGATATTGCTGTAATTGTAGCTGAACAAACTAAACAAACTACTGACATTTTACCTTGTCAGATATCAGACAAAACCCCGGCCACTGGTAAGACCATAATTATATTTAATCATTAATCATTGGTTGCATTTAACAGCTATTTTACAGGTCAAAAAATGTTTTCGGTTGGATTCGCTTGTCGAGAATATGTACCATCTACAGTTTTCGGTCACATGCACAGAATGATATATAGCATATTGACGACCACTTGTAATGTGAGTGCAGGGTTCAGTGGCGGTCCAGTCTTTTCAATCGACAGAAAACTGTTGGGTCTCACTGTTGGAAAGTTGAACACAGGCACTTTTCATTTTGTATTGCCTTCTACAGAATTTGTGGAAACTATTAACAAATATATCATTACTAATAGTTAGTTGTAATTTTTTCATGCATAATGATACATATATAAATTAAATTGCGTTTAACATGGTTTTAATATTATTTATTTTCTACAGACATTGAAATACTTAATGATTTAGAATCCAAGTGCCCATTGAAAACAGTGCTATGGAACAATGGCATTCCAACCTTCGAAGTATGTCATATTTAATTTGAACAGAAGAATACAAATTTCTATAATGATTTGTATACTTTATTTGTAATTGTTTTGACCTATAATTATTGTTGTTATTGAAAATATTTAAAAATGTTATACATTAGTGGCTATGCCCGGTGATCTTAATGGTTTTTTTTTCTAAATTAATATTTTTATTACATAAGCAGGGAAAAAATGTTATTGTAATACAAAAACAAATATGGGTACTTATTTATATTAAAATATGTAAATGCAATAAATAAAAATAAGTAACATATTTGAGAATTTATATTTAAAAATATTCAATTTGTAAATCAATTAATTAATTATTTATTTTGTGTTTAAATACAAAGTATACAAATATTTATAAATAAAAATACTGGTAAGGGATAATGCTATTAACTTACTAAAATAAGTTATTGTAGAAGGTTTGAAGAACGGTGATAATCTTGTAAAATAACACTCTTGTATTGACTAACATAGCATTCCATATCATATTCCTAATATGTAAGGGGCATTCTTCATAACTACTAGTACCTATTCCCTTGATCTCTATCAAGGCACTCTAATATTTGATATATCAAAAGAAGTGACTTCACATTCTAACTTCCTTCATAATCTTATTTTTTCTTGAATTAATTTCATGTATTTTAATCTGGAACTATTCACTTGTACAATATAGAATTTACCTATCTGTTGTTAGTGTATAGAAGAAATTATTTTATTATTTTACAATGTGTATAATAATCATAAAGAACTAATCAATTTAAAATCAATATTGGCCGATATTCTGTCTCCAAAAAAAGAACAATAAAGTATTGCGCATCGTGAATGATGCAATTGGCGCGTTGAGAACCACATGATCACACTAACACCGAATTGTTAGCTGAAGACGCTCAGCACTGACTAAAACTGTTCGGTCAACTGATAACTCTCTTTTGAGATATGTATAGGTACACAAGGAAGAACAAGTACACGATAATAAATTGTTTGCGACAAACAGTGGCGCCGAACTATATTTTAAAAAGGGGGGGGGGACAAGTAAAAAGTTATACGGACCACCACCCCTGTTTACATATGTATACATTATAATAGCTTAGGAGTTAGGAACATAATTCATAAATAATGTGTTGGGGTACCCACAGACCCCACCCACCGAAAAAGGGGGGACGGTTGCCCCTCTTAGGTTATAGGTTCGGCGCCACTGGTGACAAAAGTTAGAATAAACAATTATAACATAAGATTTTTAATTATTATAATTGCGTTAAAAAAAAATTAACATGTAGGAACTGAATTTTGAGTATAGTTTAGTTATTTCAGTAACTTTAGAAATTTGAACATCAGTATGGAGTATTGGAGTGTATCATTTGGCATTTTTAAACATATGGAGAAGTATTAGGGAAAAGTGGTAGGATTTTTGATTAGAATACTTGTATTTTTTTTTGCAATTTTTTTTCTGGCTTCTCAAAGTTGAATACCAGAATATGAAACTAAAATATCCATTTTGAATCATTGTTTGTCATTTAAATTTAATTTATCTCATTGGGTTTGTTTATTAACTTACTGATGTTGCAGACTGCAGTAATAAACAATGTATGTATTGCGAGTTCCTACTGTTTTTTTTGGCATGCATTTTATATAAAAATCCTCTTAAGGCTATGAAGTGTATTAATATTTTAATCTTATATTTGGATATTCAATTTAATAGAACAAAAATTAACTTCCAACATTTGATTTTTATTGTAATTTTTAAAAGATAATATCAGCAAATAATTACTCACTTATTTGATAAATCTACTAGAAGATATTTATTTATAATATAATTGATAAATATGTTATATTATACATTTTTTATTTCTGCATAATAATTTAATATTGTAATAATTAATATAATATATTATATAAAAAAGAACATTTTGATTCTTTTTTTATACCTATTATGAATAAACAATATTTAAAATATTTGTCGCAAGAAGGGAAAATGTGTTAAAAAATTGTATTTAAAAAAAAAAATACCTACAGTATAAATAAAGAAACTAAAATGTATTAAATAAAAAATAATTGTGCTACAGGTTATATCTATATTTAGTCTGTAACATGATATATTAATTACATTTAATAGTTACATGTAATTCATTCAATTTAAAAAAAAATATGTATGCATATTTTCTAAATCCCTTTTTGCAACAATTATTAATTCAGTTGAGACAAATTGTATACAAATACATAGAAAAGTTTTTCAGTAAACAAAAAATTGTCTTAAAAATATCAACAACAAAATAAATAATAATATGTATTATACACATTTCCAGGAGACATTAAAAAACTAGTAACCAAATTATTCCAAACACTTAAATATTTGGATAAAATAAAAAAAAAGTAGATATAACAATAATTCATTAGTAGAAACAATTGCAGTATGTACAAAATGCATTTATAATATTATTATCTGACCAACTGCAAAATGTTATGGAAAAATAAATTAATAGATCAAAAATAGTTTTAGAATTAGTAGACAGTTCTTTGCAATGATTGTAATTTTTTTTTATACTGTAAAATACTTATATAAAACAAAAAACATAGTTCTATTGTATAATTCCTTAGTTAATTTCATAACCTTAAATGATAAAAAAAAAACAGGGTTACAACTGTTGATCATTCAGTCAAATAAATTAGATAAATAATTGTTGTAACCAATAGTTTTTAATTTATAATTAATATTATATTCATCTCTATGACTACAACTCATAACATTTTATTTAAAACATTTTATTTAATTAATTAGTTAAAAATAAAGGGAATGAGTAGGAAATTTCACTCGATATTCATGTTATACAGAACATATCTGACTAAGTAAATGAAGAGTGCAAAGCCGACCACTACAACACTGTTGTAAACAACTGAGTGAAAAATATTGTTTTCAGGTTGGCTACTATCCATGATGGGTGACTGCTCTTCATTAGCTCTAGCCAAATTTCGTTTTTCAATTTCATTTTGTATTGTCTATATAAGCAACCAATAACAATTAGTAATAACAACATACTTAGGGCTGTCTTACAACCTCGAGAATCTCAAGCGCGTATTTCAGTTTACATTGTTAAAGTCTGTATGCAATACAAAACACAGTTTTATTGGTGAGCAACATATCGCATATAAACCTCAACAATGTACACTTTAACACCCGAGGCTGTGAAACAGGCCTGATGACATATTTGCAAATTTTACCATGGTAAGCTCAGGAAATAGTTCACAGAAATTTTCATCACGTACATTTGACTCTAAGCTTTGAGCAGCCAATTGACGCCTCTCGTAATCAGTCATCTCTATGCTACCCATTGTAGGGCTATTCTCCAGCTAAATTCAAATATTCGAACATGTCATAAGGATAAGAGCATGTTTTTTTTTAGTAGATAATTTATGTAATCACCATAAAGCTTAGCAAACCAGTGAGAATAGTAGATACACTCCATGCTGGATTCCATGTGTCTGGATGGTAATCACTAATGGACAAACACAGGCGGGTGTTAGTTTTGAATCTGCCGTTGGGTGTAATCATGTAAATGCTAGGCGGCTTAAATGGAAAATCTCTAGGGAAAACTAGCCTTCCCAAATAATAACCGCCAGCGTACGGAGAATCGTCGGGTCCACTAACCACATAGTACCTGCATGACAAGCAAATCGGTTTCGTTAAATGTTTAGGTAATTTATTATTAACTGCTGCACACATACCATTCCAATATGTTAGACGGGTTTGGTTCAGCGATTACATAAGGCACAGGATCATTTTTTAGACGGATGTAATCTTGTTTCAGACGAAGAGTAGCCGATGACGTTTTGGGTGCCATAATATTCTTTCGTTATACTTATGTGTGTATTTTACACAAAACAACGGTACGTAAACATTAGTAGATGACAAGAATTTATCGAATACCTACGTGGTATGTATAAACAATATAAGTTAATTTGTATGCGCTTCGAAAAATGTTGTTATGATCATAATTTATTAATTTAAAACAAATGGGTTGTAATACTGTGCGCACTAAATTTGTTATTTTGTTGTATAAAAAAACTCTAAAGTCTTGGAATTAAGTGATCGAGAATAAGGAATTACGATTCACGAATTTACGATAGGTACAACTAACATAAAGTATACATAACAATGGGCCAAAAGCCGTTCTCCTAAAAATGATAAGAAAAAGAAAAACGAGCATATCAAATAGTATCTCATACCAACCAAAACAAAAGTAAATATTCCAAATAATAATTTAATATCAGTTCGTGTGACAGCCTGTTAAAATACATTAATTATTTATTCGTTTTCTTGATCTTTAATTATTTATTAATTTTCTAAAACTTAACTTCACTTAAAGGACCAACTCAGCGAATATGGCTTTCAATGGTATTGATGCACTACGCGACCACGATTACTTACCAAGTATTATTTATTTCTATATATATGTATTAAACATTTTTTTCACACCTTTTATAAGCAGATGTACTCCTTATTATTTAGTGGTTTAAGTGTTAGAAATGGGAGGGGACATGTTAGGGACATAAGGGGCATCATATTTAATTTAAGGGCCGTTCTTACGACGTCCGGTTAAAGTTAACCGACACTTAACCGGAAGAATTCTGCCGGTAATAAAATCTGTTATCAGTCGGTTAGCGTTAACCGACACTTTACCGGACATTGTAAGAACGGCCCTAAGTCTCCTAAGTCTAAGGGAATAAAACAACTCGGAAACGCTACTATACCTAGCCAAAACAATATATTTTTTTTTTCTGTGCTATTTATAGTTTATTTAAGTGAATATCAATTATATAAGTACATCCTCAAGTAATTATTAGTTATTACAAAATGCATTGTACATAGTTTCAACATAAAAAAAAAATACATTCAAAATAACACTTTAAATATTACTTAATTTCCTCTTAAATTAAATCCACTTGTTATTTTCATCGATTCAGATAATGAACTGCAGTATGAAGAGTTGATGGATTTCAACAGTTTTGAAGAGGAGGAGGAAGAATGTGTTATTGACGAAGAGGAGGAAGAAGATGATATTGAAGAAGATAACAATGGTATTTTATATGAATTATTGATATTGTTAGTTCTGCAGGATACCAATATGAACTTACCAGAGTTGTTGAGAGAATTTGTGTTGCTAACGAATACGATTAGTAAAAGTCGTATATTATTATCCAAATGGTAGCGACGCGAGTATGCGACGATGCCTATTGCATATACAATCATGAAAAATTATAATTTGTCATGTGTACAATTTAAAAGTGAAAATGTAAAATTATCAGTATCGTCGGATCGTATTGTTTTCAAATTGCATGTACAACATATAAAAATAAAACGAAATAATTGATTGCTAGCGTCAGCGTTCATGCGATAACACTAAGCATCGACCGAGAATAGGAATTATTAGAACTATTATTAACCATAAGTCTATAACGCTATTTATAAAATATATTATTATGCAATATCTCAAAAACATATTATAACTTTATGAATTTAATATTTATGAATTATTTTTTTTCAATTTAACTACATACTAGCAACATACCTAGTTTTCATGACGTAATCGCGGGGCCCTAAAATTCGCGCGGGGGCTAGGACAAATATCCCAATTGACCTACCCTATATAGGGCCGGCCCTGAACTTACCCATATCGATGCATTGACTTTCATCATCTTATGATCAATTTAAGACATTTCTATGTCATGAGTCAATATTAGATGGAAATTCTTCAAGTAACCATTGTTCCAATTCGGATGTTTTATCCATTTTAATATATTGTAAAATGTTATATATTATAGCAAATATAAGTATAAATATAAAATATTAATCTCAATATAGGAAAATGCGAAAACGGATTAACAAATAACAATATTTAAACAACAGATATACATTATTAAGGCAATGGTACATATATAGGTACATACACGACAGCCAACGACTAAAGTGAAATTAATAATTATGAAATAGCATTATGATTTAGACCCGACGCCGCCGACGGTACTTTTGAGTCCATTGTATATTATAATCAGATTTTTCCCCTCTTTTAATATATCGATATTTATACAAAAACAATATTTATAGACACAATTGCAAACAATTCTAGCGGATAAGAATGCTAAAAATAATTTTTGTACGTGTTTAAAACCAGACTGAATACAGATAGTATAATTACATAATATAAATATATAATATTATGCCTGTCGCCAAGACTGCTATGCACAGTTACAACGTGCGGGCTGCGGGTTCAGTTTCAAAATAATCGATTGTTAGGAAATACAACAATAATTGAATATTGCATGAATATTAATTATTTGTGGCATTGCATACATAATATGACACTTATATGTCAATACTGAATACAAATACATAAAATATAAGTTTTATACATTTTTATGTTGGTAATGTCATTATGGTAACGGTGTAGGGAATTTATGTTTTAGTGTTGGTATACATGATCTGAACAAGTTTTTCTTTTTTTTTCTCAGCTCTTATCAGTTTTAAGAGAACGGCTACACACTCCATAACAATATCGAGATACACATTTTGTATAAACTATAAACACAAAACAAATTGATAATATTGATAAGAAAAAGTCGTCAATCGGATAAAAAAATACTTCACAAAATCACAACGTGACAGTGACGACCACGTAAGAATAAACACGTATTTTCTATATCTAAGCATAGGCGCAATTTCAGTTTTTAACTTGGAGGGGCTTAACATATTTAAATGAAACAGACCCCTTGGGGGCTCCGCCCCCCACACCCCCTATTCAAATACCAAAATAATATTTTTTTCACCCACTTTCCTACATTTTAATCTATTATATTATATTACATCTACTGTTAAAATTGAAAATATTAGTATTAAAACAAATAACAACATTTAGATATTTATATGTTATAATATAATCTTCTAACACCATGTTATTGGTGCACGGGCTAGTTTCCATGTTTCCATGTTTAAGTTTTAGAAAATAATTTCTGTTTGCTGTATTAGGTGTAGTCATGTAGATTAGATTTAAGGATTTAATACTTAAATTTAAATACAAATTTTTGGAGGGGCTAATTTTAATATTGGAGTGGCTAAGCCCTTCCAAGCCTCCCCCTCAAATTGCGCCTATAACTATAAGAATTAAAATAGGTACCTACTTAGAATATACTCAGGCACGGATTCAGAGAGGTGTTATGGGTGATCGGGCACCCACTGTCGTCTAAGCCACCAATAAAATAAATTTGTATTAAAAATTACTTAATCTAAAATAGAAAGATGTAACCATTTTTGAGCACCCCCTGTTGAAGTCTTCTGGATCCGCGCCTGCCTATATTTCATTAAATATTATAAATTATAAAGTTACGTGTTTAAATATGTTACAAATTATTACTATACATTTTTTTAAAATATTTTAACGGTGTCTCATGGGCTTTGTGCCTTTGTCCAATGTCCTTAGATCATTTTAATTTACTACCTATGAATGGACCCATGTCCTGATAATTTGAATGACTTAAATACTTAATGGTGACGTTTCTCTCGTTAAGATATTAAGATCCATACATATATTATATAACCCATAGGCGGAAATCCATTGAAATATCAGGGGGGGCAAACATTATGAACATCAATGTGAGCGGGGGCTTCGATCCTACAAAACTAAACAAAGAGGGGGCTTGACGGACTTTTTTTGGGGAAGCTAAGCCCCCTCATGGCCTGTATGGCATCTACAATACAGGTAATGATCATATTATTATACTTATTTACGATGAGATATTGAGATGTAATCTGAGCATGAGTAATATAAATTGGAAACAATCGCATATGGCATATTTATCTAATTTTTTTATGAGGATACGTGAAGAGTATAGGTACTTACGCATGCGTATATCGCGGGTATATAGATGGCACGTTGCACGTCTCGTCCAGAGACTCGTCTCTATTATAACTTACCTATAAGTTATAATTTATTATAATATATATAGGTACACCAAATTGTTTACGAGGGAAAGATGATTATGGGTTGATTTATACCTGATCTAAAGTTTTGAAATTTTGTAAAGAATTAATTAGGTACATAATATTATAATAATATAATATTAAATCTTGATTCGGGTAATCGGAAAAAAATCATGGACTCTAAGGAAAAAAATTCCCCAACAAATATTTCGATAGGTAACTAATAAAGTTAAAAAAATTAAATTAACTAAAATTAATAAAATAATAAAAATAATAATAATAATAAAATTAATAAAATTATTAATTAATTAACTATTTTAACTAAGTTAAAAAAATTAAATTATGAAATAAATAATAAATAAATCATTACACCGTTTCCTAATATTTTGACCAATGACGATAATATGAGAACAACAAACATATTAACCATTTAACAGTTAATAATAAAATTATTAATTTGGCTAGATAGGTAATTGACTTTATTAATTAATTTGTGCTTAACTTATCGACCATTCGAAATATTTTATATACCTTATGCATGTTTTCTACGATGGAGACGATGGAGTAACTGTTTAAATTTTAAGTATGTACAGGTCATAATTTTAATGTATCTTAGATTCTGAGCGGAGCGAGGAAGCTAGTGGTTTTACAATGGTGTTTATTTTTTTTTATATATCCTGTATACAAAATATCTACCAGAAGGAGTGCTTCGTTTCCAACATATAGTAGGTACTTTATCTTTTAGCAAATTGGATCGGGATGGTTATTAAAAAAGGTCATTTTTCGATTTTCTCTATAGTTATTTAATGCCACAGGAAAAACCACCGAAAAATTACGAAAAACTGCTAAAAATGGGATTTTAATTTC